CCCTATTACCCACCCCCCCCCACCTCTGCTCGGCCCCCGCAGCAGGAGTTGGATAAATGGTTCTGAGCTCCCAGAGCCCACAGGGCCCGGTGACAGTGGGAGCACGGATCAGAAAATGAAGGCGGCTGATGGATACGGACGTTCGTCCCTCCCCCTCCTCACCTCCTGCCTCCTCCCCCTCACTCAATCGTCTTGGTTACAGCCTGAGGCTCAGCTTTTTGTCAAAGCAGCCGCTGGTGTCAGAACGAGTCTTATTTTTCAGAGAAACTGCGTCGCTGCTCCTCACATGGCTGATGTTCGCTGTCGTTTGTTGCTACAAAGAAAGTTCATCAAATATTTACTTTTTCAGTGGTCACATCTGAGTTATTTCTCTTTCATTAACCTTCAACCGCTCTCAGGATTCATGAAAAAACACATTTGGTTGATCTTTGTGAGATGAAAAGATTCAAACATCATTACTTCCTCTTCCTCTCCCCTTCTCTGTGAACTGACCTCATCACTTTTTCATCTTCTTCTTCAGAGTCTATAACATTTTCTTTTCTTCTGCACCCAAGCAGGTGTCACTGGATTCCAACTCCTCCATGAATTCCAACACCCCTCTGGTCCGGATCGCACGTCTGTCCTCCAGTGACGGGCCCATGTTGGCCAACGTGTCGGAGCTGGAGCTGCCCTCAGACCCAAAGTGGGAGTTTCCACGGACCAGGTAAGAGGGACTGTTTGGACTCCGCCCTCCCACCACGGTTGGGACTCTCTGATTGGTTCTGATCTGGTTGGTTTGTGTTCCCAGGTTGACTCTGGGTAAACCTCTGGGTGAAGGCTGCTTTGGTCAGGTGGTGATGGCCGAGGCCGTGGGCGTCGACAAGGAGAAACCCAACAAACCATTAACTGTTGCTGTGAAAATGCTGAAGGGTCAGTGGATGAGCTTCATCATCATCTTCCTCACCATTAGTGTTATCATCCATTTGTGAGCTAGCCTGTACTGTATGTGTGTCTTTGCTCATATTGTTCTTATCTCTGCTTTATCTGGTAACTTCTTTGTTTTATTTCTGTCTTGTCATATTTATCTCCTCTATTTCTTGCTTCCAGTGTTTGACACGTTTTTCTCTCCTCCCTCTCTGTTCTGACCAGATGATGCCACAGACAAAGATCTGTCCGACCTGGTGTCAGAGATGGAGATGATGAAAATGATTGGAAAACACAAAAACATCATCAACCTCCTCGGAGCGTGCACCCAGGACGGTGAGAGCAGAGTGCAGATGGTTCCGTCCCACAGAGTCGTGGACCAACCAGAGTCTTACTGATCTGTTCTGTTTTCACACCCAGGCCCTCTGTACGTCCTGGTGGAGTACGCCTCCAAAGGGAACCTGAGGGAGTACCTGAGGGCGAGGAGGCCTCCTGGGATGGACTACTCCTTCGACACCTGTAAAATCCCAGATGAGCAGCTCACCTTCAAAGACCTGGTGTCCTGTGCTTATCAGGTGGCCCGGGGCATGGAGTACCTGGCCTCACAGAAGGTCAGCTGCTCAGTCAACTCTGTGAACTGGCCCTGGCCCTGATGCTGAGTCAGGCCTCTGATTGTGCTGGATTACAGTTCATTAGTAGATTGTAGATTTAGACGGTGAAATATTTTTGTTTTTATTGGATACGTGTCAGTTATGGCTTATATAATAAGGGAAAATATAATATAATTCTGTGAAGGAAATTCACGTACTACTACCACTGCAGCAGGAAGACATGAACCAATCAAAGATATTAATGCATTTTAGAGAACATATAAACACATGCAGTATATACAGGGGAAAATATATTTGTACCGAAGTACAAAAAATATGAAGTAAAAAATGTACGTAAAAAAAAAATCCAAGATGAGAATATGGAATAACGACTTAAAGTTTTAAATCATCATGTTTTAAGGATAAAAAGTCAAAATAATCTTTTTGTTAATTTTTCAACATGATTTTGTTTCTAAGTAGAAGCTTAAATGATCCAGAAACACGACATTTCCCATTAGAGTCAAACGTCAGTGTCTGTGTGTTTGTGTTGTCGTTGACGTGTTCCGTCCTGGTGTTCCTCAGTGTATCCACAGAGACCTAGCAGCGAGGAACGTTCTGGTCACAGAGGACAACGTGATGAAGATCGCAGACTTTGGCTTGGCCAGAGACGTGCACAATATAGACTACTACAAAAAGACCACCAATGTGAGTGTGACGACACTGGTTCAAGTGGCCGTGTATACAGCATGTTTATCAAACCTTTTAGCCGAGCTGTAGCTACCTGCGGCCGGGCCGCTGTCGGTCAGTACAGTCGTGCACTGAATCGGTTCTGTTGTTGCAGGGTCGTCTGCCTGTGAAGTGGATGGCACCAGAGGCACTGTTCGACCGGGTCTACACTCACCAGAGTGACGTGTAAGTTCACACTCAAACCCAAACATTCCCACATTCCACGTCTGTGCATGTTGGTGTGTGTGTGTGTGAGCGGAGGAATCCGCCTGTTGAAAAATAATGACGCTGTGCGTTAGCATCAAACTGGGAGTGTGTGCGTGTGAATATGGAAGTGAAGCGTTTCCCTCTGCAGATTCCTGCAGCTCACTGTCATCTCTCTGTAATCCTGAAGCTCTGCTGTTTCAGTGGCTCCACATTCCTCAGAGCGTTTGTTCTTTAGTCTCCAAACACAACGGCACCCCCGCCACGGAACTGTTGTTTTATCAGAACTAATCCAGCAGGAGCAGAGAAGAGGGTCAGTGGAATCATCCAAGATGTTCCTGCGCTCTGTTTGTCCACTCACAGAACACTGGTATCTGAAGTATTTACTTCAGTAAGTAGCACTAGGAGTAGTTCTGTGAACTATCAGGGTTGTGATTGCATAGGTGAGGGGCAGTACCAGGAACTTTACTTTGTATCTTTTCAAACCTTACTCCAGTCAGTCCAGTCTATGTTATCTGAGGTCGGTCTGTAAACGATGGACACTGCCACCACCAGAAAGTCCTGGTACTGTTTGGACGATTTGCTTCCACACAAGCCTGAGCCCAGAGACACTGGAACCTTGGTGGAACTGTTTTCACACAGCAGTTTAGACGCGGCTTCCTTGGACATCTGACCAGATTGGAGACACATATAGTACACAAAGACCATTTTTACTGATGAAGAAATGGTTCCTGGTACACAAACACAGCTCTGGTTCCAGCCTCTCTCCAGACTCTGGGTCTCAGCCACAGTGGTTCAGTCCAAATATGGAACTTTGTCAACATGGATCAGATGTGAGATGAGAGCAGACTGGAACAGGCTGCGAGCACATTCAGCTGCTCTGTTATTTCAGCAGGTCTGGATTAAGGAGTCCAAACCTTCTCCTCCTCCTCCTCCTCCTCCTCCTCTTCCTCCTTCTGCTGCGCCTCCTCCTGCTCCTCTCTTCGTACAGTAGTTCCTCGGGACTCGGACTTCTGACCGTGTGTGGTTTTATTCTTAATGACTGTAGTCAGAATCAGAGTGTGTGTGTGTGTGTGTGTGTTTGTATGTGTGTACCAGCATGTGGAGCAGCAGCAGCAGCAGCCCACACACAGGCTTGGCTGACGTCACCAATTATTCCAGCTGACACAGAGCTGGCAGTAGGAGCAGCTCACACAGTCAGAACTGGTTCTGATCTCGGTGGAGAAACAGTTTTTCATTCATCACCTCATCAGACAAAAACATTTCATATTTTTTACTCCTGAAAATCACGGAGGAGGAAAATTACCTCTGAAATGGTATCAAACCTGTAAGAAGTTGTAGAGCTACTGTCCAAGTTAGTACCAGGAAGTACCAGGAAGTACCAGGAAGTACCAGGATTGACAGATCCACTGGGAAGAAAACAGAGACAAGACGATACAGAGAACTTGGTGGAACTTTGGTGTAACACTGTAGATCAGTACCGACATCAGTACCGATGTCTCTGAAGCAGCAGTAAAGCTGATCGTCCTCTAAAATGTTCTCAAATCTGTGGTCAACTATCTAGTTTTATTGACGTGTCATTGACTAAAACCTGACCTTTGGTCCCAGATGACCGGTCCATTCACAATCAGCTGTTTGTCTCAGACCACAGTCGGACCCTGACCCTGATTGGATAACTGGCTGCTGGACTTTGATGGGTGTCAGTGGAGCAGTGGGTGGTTAATGAAACAAGTCCAGTCTTCATGGTGATTGGAGAAAGTGTTTAAGAATCAGAGACATACAGCAGAGCGTCTTCTGCGTCAGTCCCACGTTTCCTTTTCCTCCATCTTCCTTCCATCATGTCATTCCAAACACCTGACTGCAGTGATGTCATCGATCTTCATTGTCATTCCACAGCTGTCTCGTCCTGTCGTCTCTCTGTTTACACCTTCATTACCTCCACCTTTTAGAGGCTCAATAAGCCGTGAATATTCAGCTTGCGTTGACAGCAGCAGCTGAATACAAACAAAGTCTCCGAGGATTTTTCTGATCATTTCATATGCAGTCAGAACCTGAACCTGGGTCTGAACCTGCTCCGACCCCACACAGGAGAATCACGCAGCGATGATAATGAGTCAGAGACCACTTGAGATGGAGAGTCGTCTTCTCTCACAAGTGTTGTCTTCACACTCCCTTCTCTCTCTCTCTCTCTCTCTTGCCCTCGGTCTGTGTCTCTCTCTCTCAGTCTCTCTGTTTCTCAGTCCCGTCCAGCGTCTGTTTTCCAGCCTGCAGACCGGAGCGTGGCTAATCAGGTTAGCCTCTGTGAAGAGCTGCTGCAGCTCTGATTCTGACTCAGAAGCAGCTCTGAACAACACTGAGAGCAGGACCAATATCTGATTACTTTCACTCATTCCTTTATAGAAGAGAAACCTCTTAGGAAAAATACATGTGTTTTACAAAAGCTGCTGCAGAAAGTGTAAAAAGAACAGAAGTCAGATGCAGAAATATTTTCTATTAACTTACAGATTTGTCCTCGTCTCGTCGGTCATTCATCTATTTCATTTTCTACCCCCCCACGGTGGATCATCTGCCTCCATCCCACTCTGTCTCTCCATGAGTCCTTCTTCTTGTCTCCATCTTGTTTCTCCAGAGCGGCAGCTGAGGAGACAAATGGAAACTCTTTAATTCTTGTCAATAATCTCATCAGTGCGATCTCTCCCTCCACCACTTCCCACTTGTCTCCGTCCTGGTTTGATGGAAACTCATATTGACTCCACTGTCTCAGACAATGACAGCGCTGATTGAAGATCAATAAGTTCTTCGATCGTTGATTGTTCTTTCTGAAGAAAAGGGGAAAAAATATTCTTTGAGAATTGTGACAGCTACAGACAAGAGTGTGGTTTCACCAGGATCTGGGTTCATTATGGCTGTGTCTTTTAGGTGGTCCTATGGCGTGTTGCTGTGGGAGATCTTCACACTGGGAGGTTCTCCTTACCCAGGAATCCCAGTGGAAGAACTGTTCAAGCTGCTGAAGGAGGGCCATCGCATGGACAAACCTGCCAACTGTACCCACGAACTGTGAGTGATCCAGCAGCAAACGATAGACTTTAGCTCTGAATGATGTGTCTGTTTCTAATTCACCAAAGGTCAAGACTATTTAAATATAAACAGAACTCTTAAAAATATTTGCCTTTTCCTTTTTCAGGTACATGATCATGAGAGAGTGTTGGCACGCGGTGCCTTCACAGAGACCGACCTTCAGACAGCTGGTAGAAGATCATGACCGGGTTTTATCCATGACCTCCACTGATGTAAGTCTTTGTCCAGCTTGAAAAAGAGGAAATCTGCCGAGACTAACTTTTATTTGCGAAAAGAAACCAGTAAAATACAATGGGATTACTTCAGTGTGTACTTAAACACACACTCCTGCTGTCAGCCAATCACGTGGCTGAACACAACCTTGTCTGTTTAGAGTTGTTTAACTTTAGTTTTAATAGCAATATTTTTATTTTAGAAAAGGTCTCTACGTTGAGGATTGTGCTGACTGAAGGTTAGACTTAATTGCACAAAAACATTTTTTATATATTTAAATAAACTACATTTTTATTTATTATTTTATTGTTTTATTATAACTAAGAACAGAAGGTGTTCAACCTTGAGGGTTTTTCAAGGTCGATCAAACAATGAACCCTCTTGCAGAGTTAGACGTATTTTTCTCCTGTTTATCAAAATCACCTGGAGCAGTGATAGGAAGTGACGCCTGGGTCTGACCTCTGACCTCTGACCTCTCCTCTGACAGGAGTACCTGGACCTGTCGCTGCCATCTCAGCCGTACTCGCCCTTGAAAAAGAGGAAATCTGCCGAGACTAACTTTTATTTGCGAAAAGAAACCAGTAAAATACAATGGGATTACTTCAGTGTGTACTTAAACACAGTACACACTCCTGCTGCCAGCCAATCACGTGGCTGAACACAACCTTGTCTGTTTAGAGTTGTTTAACTTTAGTTTTAATAGCAGTATTTTTATTTTAGAAAAGGTCTCTACGTTGAGGATTGTGCTGACTGAAGGTTAGACTTAATTGCACAAAAACATTTTTTATATATTTAAATAAACTACATTTTTATTTATTATTTTATTGTTTTATTATAACTAAGAACAGAAGGTGTTCAACCTTGAGGGTTTTTCAAGGTCGATCAAACAATGAACCCTCTTGCAGAGTTAGACGTATTTTTCTCCTGTTTATCAAAATCACCTGGAGCAGTGATAGGAAGTGACGCCTGGGTCTGACCTCTGACCTCTGACCTCTCCTCTGACAGGAGTACCTGGACCTGTCGGTGCCCTTTGAGCAGTACTCGCCCACCTGTCAGGACTCCAACAGCACCTGCTCCTCAGGAGATGACTCGGTGTTCGCTCACGACCCGCTGCCTGACGAGCCCTGTCTTCCCAAACAGCTTCCCAGTAACGGAGTCATTAGGACATAAGGAGGAGGAACGGTTGGCTCTGGACAGAGGACAGCATGGACCTGGAGCCGAAATCTGTGACTAATGATCAAATTAACAAATCACCTCTCAGTGACCAGAGCTCCTGATGTGGAAATTCACAACTCGGCATGCAATACTTCCACAATCAAACTCTGGGTCGGAATCATCTCCGTATTAGCTTCTCTTCCTCCTTCTTCCTCAGCGACTCTCTCCAAACATTGAAGGATTATTTGCTTTTTCCTCTTTTCACAAATGAAATTATATTTTTGTACTCGGGCCAGTCTTTTGTTACGGACAAACCATTCCGTGCCTACTGGAACAAATAAGGAAGGGAAAGTAGGGAAGTGGAGGACGAGAGATCCGAGTGGAGGAGGAGACGAAGGTGTAGTTCATCATGGGAGCCGGGGCAGAACAGATCAGATTGTCTTTACAAACAGAATCGCTGGGATAGAGTCGCCTCCACGTTCAAGGATTTTCCTCCATGTTTCCTCTACGGACATGTTTTTACCATCCCATCAAACTCTCTGTTATCAATATGGAAGCAGTTCCTCAGTGAAGTTTCAGGGTCATTTCAGTCATAAGTACGTGGAGGTTTTTATGTATTTAGAAAAGTGATACGTTGTAAATATGAATGCAAATATGTATGATATTTGGGAAAAAAAAAAAAAAAACAGTTTTTAAATATTGTTCTAGGATGGAAGCATCACAGTCTAGAAGACACTGTCATGAGCGTGTAAAACATTTAATCCTTTAAAGTGATACAGAAACAAAGGTTTATTAAAATAATTAACGTGTATATTTGTAAAGATATTTATAGACTTAACACATGGTTCTTAAGTACGATAAAAAAAAAGCTCTAGTTTAGGATTTTAGTACTGTACGCAAAGATGTTTATTTCAACTTTAATTTGTTTTTGTTTTTTTAACTTATTTTACAAAAAACGTTTTTTTTTCCCCACAAATTTTTAGAGTTTTTTTTCATCCACCTTTGATTTTTGCTTTGTTTACAGATTTAGAAAAATGAGAATGTAAGGTGGATTTTGGAGAGCACGGCCGGTGGACGCTGGTTTCACTGAGCCTGCATTGTCTTTTTAACGTTTGCAATATCAAAGCAACGATCGAACTCTTGCTGGGCAAGAAAAACTGCAGCGTTTGGAGAGAACAGACCAGAGAGGCCTTGACAGTGTGACTGCAGGACTTAAAGACAGAGAGAGCTTAAAAAAAATTACAAAAAAACAACAACTGTGAATAGAAAGAATCCTCCAGAGAAACTCAGCTGCTGGTTATAATTGAAAAAAAAAAAACCTCTTTTAATTCCTAAAGTTTACATGTGCCAAGAAAAATCAAATACTTTCACATCTGAATTTAGTTTATGAATACATTTAAATACAATACTGTGCAAACGTCTGTCATATATATATACATATTATTTTATTTTATTTTGTACATTCAACAGTAAGTGTATTAAAAAGTAAACACAGACTATAAGACACTGATGACTAGCTCCTTAAGGCAGCTACCTGTTCAGGGTGCAGGGCAAAAAAAATTACACATGAATTTCTAATCCCAAACTTTCTAAAACTAAAATACAAATTCCTGGAATCTGGAAAATGTTGAATGTCTTGTTTATGAGTGGAAAAGGAATTAATAATATTACAATGTACCTACCAATTCTGGCTTATTTAGCACTTTAGTGAGAAGAAATTATATTTAAAAAAATGCCTTAAATTCCTGAAAAACTTAAGGCTCCACTAAAAAAAGTAGGAGAGAAAACGTAGTCACCTGCCTAAATCTTTTGCACAGTACTGTAAACTAACAAACATCCATGCATAGATACACACACACACACAGAGGTGGGTGTGTTTCTCTGAAGGCTTTGCGCTCTCCTGTCTTCTGACAGAACGATGACAGGGTCAGGTCCAGACAGGGACCGTGGGTCAGTCCTGGATCCAAACGTTGGTCACCTGCTCCAGTCCAAGCACTAAAACCTGAGTCCTGCCCCGAGGCTTGAGCTTCCATCGCTGCTCTTTAGTATTAAAACTGAAATGAAGGTACGTTGTGTGAACTGAGCGTCACACTGCAAAAAGTAAAAAAAAAAAAAAAAAAAAAAGTTTAGAACCTAAAAATAAATCTTTATATAAATCCATTTATATCAGTCTGAAGTATGAGGGGGCGTTTGTTCAGAAAATAAAGTGCCAAATTAATCAAGTCTTAATTTTGTTCTACTTTCCTCATCTCTGCACTGTCGACTGCAGCAGAGGATCATGGGATTGACAGATGAAAGTGTTTTGGGGTTTTTTCATGGTCGCAGCGGAGAAAAAGGGATGACGATGTTTAAAGTGGCATTAAAGAGAAATTCGCTGCTACACTGTAAAAAATGACCACCTGTTGAAATCCTCTGAAAACTAAAAAACAATTTTTTTATTCTCAATATTTGAAATTTAAAATGTTCTGAACTAAATATTATTAGCTGATCTGCCTGACTGTGTCTCTGCTTTTACTTCAGTGTCTATAAACTATCTATAAACTACCTTAAAAAGCAACTCCCCACAATCTGAAGTACTTAAACCAGTCAAATATGGGTTTAACTCTGACGGATCAGCACTAGGAGATAGTGTCAGTAATTCATAGACAGTAATGAGGCCTTCAGATGTGTCTCTTATTTTGTTTCTGTTTTTCTGTTTCTGAAAATTCTGGCCCAAATTGATGAAGTGCCTGCAAAAAAGAAAACAAAAAATGAGATGAAGTGATTTTTTTGATCACATTTTAAAAGAATGATTATTGTTACTATAAGGTTTTTCTGTTTGTTTGTTTTTGCTGCGTGAACAGAGGAGACATAAATAAAGGCACTTGTGTAAAAGTTGGATCTGACGAAACACTTTGGTTTATTTATTCCTACATGCCTGAAAAAAAAATGAAAAAAACTTTCCCTATGGTGAGAGTGTTTTTATTCAATGTCCGTCAGTCAAAGACCTAGAGATACTGTAGGTGATAATGATAATAAATGTCAGTGATGATGATGATGATGATGATGTAGTCACGTAGATGTTCCTCAGACTCTGCTGGTCTTAGAACATGTATTCTTTATTTTCTGTTTCTCTGTTTTATTTCCTTTGGACATTTTGTTCTTTCATTCTTGTTTTTTTTTTCTTTTTTCTTTGAAACCTTCTGGAACCTTCACCCTCTGTATCACTGTTCACTGTTATCACTTTTAAAATGACGTGCTCTTTCTAACATCAAGTGTCTGTTTTACTTTTGTCAAATTAACACGTCTCCAAACACTGGGGGGAAAACTGCAGTAGTACCATTCACACCAGCTGGTACTGTTTCTTGTTATGGTTCCTGATTTTAGCTGCTCTAGTCACACACACCCCACACTGAGAGACTTTATTTACACAACATCGGGTGTAGGAAAAAAAACAAAAGGTTTTTTTTTAGTACTGTGAAAATAAAAGTTTGGAGGTTCATTTGAATGAGAAGAGACTGCGACACAGCAGCGTAAACACAGAGTCGCAACAGTTTGTCTGACCTGACCACGTCTCAGGTCTGTTTGCTCTGAGTTCTGTCACCACGCGGCTCACATTTCTCTACAAACTGTGGCTGGAACTAAATTTACTCAAGATGTGGACCAGAAAACAAAACACAGAAGTGCGGGGACACAGAGAGAAAACGTTAGTAGGGATGCTACGAAGAAATTAGAGCTCATTAAAGAAAGGTCATGTGCAGGTGACTGTTTGTCCAACAGAAGTCAAAGTCAAAAGTTAGCTTAAATCTCTCAAAACAACTTTGCTGCATTTGTGCCAGAGACTTAAGATTGTAATAGTTCTCCAGTGGACCATACATCGGCAGGGTGGTCAGTGGTCTCGCCTCACAGTATGAAGGTCTTTGGTTCAATTCCCAGCTCTAACTGTTGGTCTTTCTTTATACAGTTATCCTTATAGCCCTGTGTTAGCAACAGAAATACCATGTACCTAAGGATAATTAATGGAAGATTAAAAATATTTTGCTCATCTTGGTAAAAACAAATTAGTTTAGTCCAGGGAATTAAAATGTTTATCCCAAGAAAACATACATAAAGGCCAACTCACTGTCTCATCATGTGAAGAAACATATGGAGATGTGGACCAATCACAGACAGTCTACACTGACTCCTCTGTCCTGTCACAGCTGAGTGTCATCAGCTGATCATCCTCTGAGCTCAGCTCTGTTCACCTGCTTCACCTCAGTGTGTGTGTGTGTGTGTGTGTGACCTGTGTGTTCTGGGCTTCCTGTTCCCTGTTGACAACCAAACGTGAGTCCTTTTCATTTTCATTTTCCATTAACAACAAAATGATGAACACAGTTGAAGAACACGTGGTTTTAATGGTGTTTGATCAGGAGTTAGGATTTTAACATCTGAAGCCTTTGGTTTTATCGACTCCTGCTCCTGCTCTAGTCAGTACTCTGTGTACATGTACCGACGTGTGGACCACTTCATCAGCTTCTACCAACGAGAGCTCAGGTCAGCGCTGTTGTAACGCTGTGACAGTGTGTACTCATGTTTGCTGCGTGGTTCTCCTGCTGGAAGTCGATGTGTTTCAGAATGAGCTGTTTGCTCAGTTCGAGTCCCAAAACCAGAGGTTAATGTCTGTAAAAGGTTATCACAGAGACTGCACTCTTTGGTGACTTTGATTAGAGGTGCAGTGAGAGAAGGAGAAGTCAAAGCTCAGACCGTGGTGCAGTGGTAGCTGTGCTCTGCCCCGCAGCAGTTACAGCTCTGTTGGTTAGTTCTGCCTCTGCTCCTGTTGCTCCTGTCACACCGTGAATAAATGAGCCCCTCATGGCGACTTAAACGCTCTTTAATCATGGAAAGTCTTTACCACTCTCTCTTTGTTTGCTGAAAGGAGCTCCGTGCCCTCCTCCTCCTCCAACATCTCCTCCTCCTCCCTTTCTTCTCCTCCACTGCCTCGCTGGCAGAGGCTCAGTGGAAGGCCGTTAGGAGGGTGATGTTCTGAAGCCACTCAGCCTGGGTGGGAGGGCTGAGCTGGACACCGACTGTGTGTGTGTGTGTGTGTGTGCGTGCGCGCTGAGGAGCTTGGCTCTCAGCCTGTCTTGAGTGCGTCCTGAGGAGAACATCCTGCTCCTCACTGGAACTTCCTCCACCCACTGAAGTGCTCCATTCACTGCTGATGGAGGAGGGGGTTCACTGCTAAATGGATGTTTCTGTTTCAGAGGTGTTTACATTGGTGGACCCTTTCCTCCTCCCCTCCTCCCCTACTTATTGCCCCCTCTTTGCTCCTTCTTGTTCCTCCTCCCCTCTCTTCTACCCTACTGAACCAACCAACTCCTACAACTGAAAACTTCAGAATAGGTCTGTCTACACCGTTTAACCACCGCGATGGAGAGTATTCAAAAAGTACGTTTACAACAAGAAACGAGTTGACAGAGCAGAGAAGCTTCACAGACGTTCAATCACTGGATTAAATCTGTAATCCAGCCCTGTAATCCAGACTCCTGTTTTACTTGGCCTTTTCCTCCTCCTCTCCTCTTCCTCCTCTTCACCTTCTGCTCTGATATGGGAAACACCGACCCAACGACCATGTAAGAGCCTGGCAGGACTCAAACAGCTGCATTTCATCCTTCCATCCAGACACCAGTCATTTCCAGAGACTGGA